TATATATATATATATATATATATATATATATATATGTAACTTTGTATTAATGTAACATTTTTTATGCAACTCTGTTTTTTGTAATATTTTGTTGAAGTTCTCTGACGTTGCTTCAGTTTTCTGTACACTGCTTAGAGATATTTTAAATATACTAAGCGGTATAGAAAATCAATAATCAATACTAGCAGAGGGACTTACGTAAAACATGGCTGGCTCACTGTGGCTGGTCTTGTTACCTTTGGAAGAAATACCTGCCTACCCCAGCTTTCTTTGCAACTGAACTGAGAGTAGCAGCATTTTAGTTCCAAACAGAGGAAGCATCTCCTCATGCAATTGTGATACAGAAAGGTGGAGATGGAGGTGGGTGCTAATTCACAGGCTGGGGAGGCTGTTAAGAATCCAGTGTATTGTGTGTGGAGGGTTGTTAAGCGTATTTCATTTTCCTTGTAAGCTTCCAACCATCGTCATTACAGAGTTGTAACAGTTCTAACGTGAGGGTAGTCTTGGAGAGATTTTGCAGACAGGACTAGGAAAGGATTAACTTCAAAAGTTAGGGTCACCCTGTGTCCTGCTTTTCAGAGGCCTATTTGAAGAGCTGTCACAGAAGAGTCCTCTGTTTGAAATACAGACAAAAGAAAACACTTTTTCTTGCAGCACAGGCACATGTGATCCGTGGACTAGGGGGACTAGTCTAGTCCCCTAAATGTTCCCGGTAAATTGGTGTGTTAAGTGTGTACCTTTTACTCCAACCCGTTCATATTATATCATGATATTTATCACGCTGAAGGGGCAAATGCTCTCTGTTTGAGAGCTATTCCCAGTTCATTTCCTGCTAAATCCATGGCGTCACAGCGTGCAAATGCATCGGTCCCTGCTTACGACGCTGCTGATGAGTCATCGAAGAGAGCAGCTGGGGCTGAGGAACAAGAAAGCAATAACTTGTCCATCAAGAGAAGTAACTACAGGGGGATTGATGGCATTTGGTGCATGGCGTTTAATGTGTCTCCTTGCGTTCTGAAGACACCGCCACGTGGTTCCCCTGCCCCCGGTGGCTATTAAAGGTGTATATTTTCATGTGTTGAAGCGCTTTCCAAGCACAATTCAAAATGTTGGTGCTGACCTTTAAAGCCCTAAACAGATTCAGGCCTCTACAGTCATACCTCGGGTTAAGTTGCTTCAGGTTGAGCGTTTTCAGGTTGCGCTCCGCGGTGACCCAAAAGTAACGGAATGCATTACTTCCGGGTTTCGCGCTCGCGCATGTGCAGACGCTCAAAATGACATCACACGCATGCGCAGAAGTGGCGAATCGCGACCCACGCTTGCACAGACGCGAGGTGCGTTTGCTTCAGGGTGTGAACGGGGCTTCGGAACGGACCCCATTCGCATCCAGAGGTACCACTGTATATCTGAAGGAGTGTTCCACCCTGTCATTTAGCCTGGACACTCAGATCCAGGACTGAGAGCCTTCTGGGGGTTCCCTCACTGTGAGAAGTGAAGTTATACGGAACCAGGCAGAGGCCATTCTTGGTAGTGGCACCCGCCCTGTGGAATGCTCTCCCATCAGATGTCAAGGAGATAAGTAACTATTCAACTTATAAAAGATATCTGAAGGCAGCCCTGTATAGGGAATGGTTTTTTTGTTGTTATTTTTTATGTATGATGGAAGCCACCCAGAGTGGTGACCCAGTCAGATGGGTGGGTTACAGATAATAAAATTAATAATATTATTTATTGCTACATTTAAATCTTCTTGTACATTTTGATAGTATTTGTGAAGAGACATATTTCTGTCCCAAAGCACAGGACTGATTCACTACCCACCACTATGACAATAAGATGTGTATCTGTATCCTCATCAATCACCCCGTTGATATCCTACCATTCATCTAAGGAGCTCAAAATGGTTATTTCATCCTCATAGCAAAACAACCCCATGCAGTGGGTTTAGCAACAAAAGGGCTACTGGTCTGAAGACCTCCCCCGTGATGAGTTCTTATTTTAGTCATGGAAGTTGCTGTGGGTGTGATGAAATATGTCTGCATTGCTTTTTTATTCATTTTAATGAACATGGATAGCAAACTACAGTTGGGAATTATTGCCCCAATGCAGTTAGTTTACACATCACTTGGGAAGACAGGCGAACTAATGTCAGTGTCGAAGCAATGATTCTTCAACATCAACTTCGTTGGACTGGTCATGTTGCGTGGATGCCTGATTATCGTCTTCCAAAGCAACTATACTCTATTCTGAAGTTAAAAATGGGAAGCGTAATGCTGGTGGTCAACAAAAGTGGTTCAAAGACTCTGTCAAGGCAAATCTTTAAAAATGTAGTATAAACACCAACAACTGGGAAACACTGGCCTGCAATCGCTCCAGTTCGAGGACAGCCTTTACCAAAGGTGTCACGGGCTTTGAAGACACTCAAACTTAGGATGAAATGGAGAAACGTGTTACGAGGAAGGCATGCTTGGCAAATCCTCACTATGATCAACTCCTGCCTGGAAAACTATATCCTCACTGTGGAAGGACGCGTGGATCCAGAATTGGCCTCCACTGTCACTTATGGACTCACTGTTAAGACTGTGTTCATGGAGGACAATCTTTACTCAGCTACGAGTGATTGCCAAAGAAAAAGAAGGCAGTCGTCTTGAAATTTGTTACATTCAGATTATTATATACGTTTCAGTTCATATGACAAAAAGGAGCATATGTAGCTACTTCTTTGTCTGCATTGTGTTGTTTTTTTATGCAATGAAACGGCAGAGATTAGAAAGTCACAAAAGAAAACGCACATTCTTCTGAATTCTAGGCAACCGTTTACAGGTTGCACTAGAGTGCATTGCAATTGCTGGAAGGTACATCTTGCCTGCTTTTAAAACGGAGCCTTTCACCTTTGAAAGTTAGTCCTTGCTCAGTCACCATCTCACCTCCCCCCTCCCCATGACATCAGGACGCCTGGAGCCCAGCAGCAACCCAGCCTCCTGGTTGCAAGTAGTGTCAAGGTTCAGAAGCAGGTATCCGAGCCCTGTGACGAATGAGTCTCTGTGTTATGTGAGACTGTTTAAACAAACACAGAGATGCTTTCAAATGCAGCCTGAATACCTAAGATCTTTCCCTCTCCCTTCTTCTTCTTCTTCTTCTTCTTCTTCTTCTTCTTCTTCTTCTTCCACTCTCTCTCCTCCTCCCTCCTCCCACCCTCCTTCTCCAAAACAGAAGATTAAGCTCGCCATAAACATGAACCGATGAAAAGAATTCGCATGGAGCTCTGAGTGGTGCCACAGGGAATAGCCGCTGGAGAATTACAAATTGCTTCTGGAGACACCAGTCTCCCTTTACAGCACATTAACATAAAAGTACACATATCTTCTTTCTATAAGGCACTAACTTGTAAATTAACCTTTAATGGAGTATAAATGATGTCCTGAAAGAACTGCTTATGCAGCAATATTTATGATCTAGAAAATTGCAAATATTTACAAGATCATAGGTGTTAATAGTCTGTCAAAAATGTTTGTATATTGTACATACATTAAACCCCCAGTTAAAGGCTGCGCTGGGGGGAGGAGACCACCCTCTTTCAAGTCTAATATAGGATTTCATTTGCATGCCATATATGCCAATCTCTATAATTAGACTCTATCTTAAGATATACCAAGACAATTTTAGAGGGAAAGGTAACTTTCTCGCCAGAGTCCATTTATTTTACAGCTCAGCGCTGCCTGCCTGTGTGAACTGTCTGCTACATGATATTGTCTGGGGAAAATTAGCCTTCCATAAAAGATCTAAGGTTTGTTCCAGCAAATTGTCCCATGGCCAATGCAGCAATCTCAGTGAAAACAGAGGAATGTTCAGGCAGTTACAAGCACTGGTTGGAGTCAGTGACTTACTTACTTTAGAGAAGCCCCACTACTGGCGCTCATGCAAATTTCAGACTTCCAGGTTTTACTTTTGAGGCCATACAATACCCTGCAAGTAACACATAAAATCTATTTTTAGAAAGCCAAAGAAATAGCATAATCAGGGCCTTTGGAACTCAAAAAACATATCCCAATAGTTTCCTGCTCTGTTCTGAGATTAGGTGAGATCAGTAAGTAAATTTTTGAATGCTGAATGTGCAAGTGACTATCTAGAGACAATGGATAAAACTAACACCACTAACTGCTGGATAAATGTTTAATGGTTATTGTATTTGTTTAAAAACCATTTTTTTTAAAAAGAGTGGAAAACCATTCCTATCACTGTCAATGGTCCTCAGGGCTGGATTTAGGTTTGATGAGGCCATGCACCGTATATATGGCACCCTATATATAGAAATGAGCAAACCAGTGATATTTTAGGGAGCAGGCTAGCAGGCAGGGCCCATTACTTACATCATAGGAGCCTACAAAACACTGTTGCTGTATGTAGGTTTTATTTTATTTGTTTTTTATCTTATATTTTGGAAATGTACATCCAGTTTTTCCCCCTTTATTTTTTTGGGGACCCCAAGAGAGTGGGGCCCTAAGCTATAGCTTGTTTAGCATATACGTAAATCCGGCACTGATGGTCCTCTGCAAGGGGATGATGGGTTTGTCCTCATGGGGCCCTCTTCCATTTTGGACATTCTGGGATTCCTTGGTAGAGAAGAGACATAGAATCAAAGAACTGAAGGGCTAGAAAGGAACCCCGGGGGTCATTCCAGTCCAAACTCCTCGAATGCAGGAATATGCAGTTGGTTCATCTGGGGATTGAACCTGCAACCTTGGCGTTATCAGCACTGCACTCTAACCAACTGGGCTATCCAGAGTCCCATGGAAAGGTTGGTGTTACATATGCCAAGGGGTCCTGTGCTTTTTGGACCTTTTAAGCTCCCGTAGTTTGAATGCAGCAATGATTTGGGAGGTGGGGCTTGATCCAGACATTTTGCATAGCAGTAAAAGGCTACTTACACATCCCCCCCCCAAAGGACAAAGGGGTACACAGATTTGCATAAAATGTACACCTATAAATTTACATCTATAAGTGCTAATGTATTGGTAAAATAAAGGTAAAGGGACCCCTGATCATTAGGCCCAGTTGTGGCCGACTCTGGGGTTGCAGCACTCATCTCGCTTTATTGGCCGAGGGAGCCAGCATACAGCTTCTGGGTCATGTAGCCAGCATGACTAAGCTGCTTCTGGCGAACCAGAGCAGTGCACGGAAACATTGTTTACCTTCCCGCCGGAGCGGTACCTATTTATCTACTTGCCCTGTGACGTGCTTTCGAACTGCTAGGTTGGCAGGAGCAGGGACCGAGCAACAGGAGCTCACCCCGTGGCGGGGATTCGAACCACTGACCTTCTGATCGGCAAGTTCTAGGTTCTGTGGTTTAACCCACAGCGCCCCCCGCGTCCCTAGTAATTGCTATATTTAAACAGAAATACATTTCTCACACTGACCAGGTAACATATGTACCTGTTAAATCGATCCAGCTTCAAGGCCATCTCTCTTCTCATGGCTATTCATCTTTAATCCACATTTGGACCAGACAGCCCTTCAATTCAAAGGCCGCCTTCTATAAAGCAACACACCTGGTCACTCTTAGCACCACAGATCCTGAAAGTGATGTCAGAAGCCTGTGTCCCAAGTCTTTCAAGGGCTTAGCAATGACTCTCTAGATTGTACAAGCTCTAATTTCTGAACTGCAACAGTATAGCGTAGAGCAAGGTTTAAACCAATGCACCATCTAGACTGGTTTTATGTCGGAACTGGGAATCCGTTTGCATACTGGGGAGCATATTACCTTCTGGGCAACCTTTTGGAGGCCACAGGGCAGTGGTGGGCAGGACCACAGACAAGAAAGAGCAGAGAAATGAATGTGGATTTGACCTTTGTACAGTAGAATAGTTTCCACCCATGATCACACACCCCTCTCCATCTTCCCTTCAGGCATCATCTGCACGATCTCTATTGAGCTATCATGCCCTCCAATATTTATCCGATGAAAATAGGGACATCTTATTTTATTATTATTATTATTATTATTATTATTATTATTATTATTAGCCCACCCATCTGACTGGGTTTCCCCAGCCACTCTGGGTGGCTTCCAACACATGTAAAACATAATAAAACTATACAGGGCTGCCTTCAGGTGTCTTCTAAAGGTTGTAGAGTTACTTATCTCCTTGGTTCAGGGGTCGCATAACTCCATACCCTCCAACATTTCTGTGTGGAAAATAGGGACATCCTACCGTACCCTCTAAAAGGGACGCAGGTGGCACTGTGGGTTAAACCACAGAGCCTAGGACTTGCTGATCAGAAGGTCGGTGGTTCGAATCCCCGCGATGGGGTGAGCTCCCGTTGCTCGGTCCCTGCTCCTGACAACCTAGCAGTTTGAAAGCACGTCAAAGTGCAAATAGATAAATAGGTACCGCTCCAGTGGGAAGGTAAACGGTGTTTCCATGCACTGCTCTGGTTCACCAGAAGCGGCTCAGTCATGCTGGCCACAAGACCCGGAAGGTGTACGCCGGCTCCCTCGGCCAATAAAGCAAGATGAGCACCACAACCCCAGAGTCGTCCGCGACTGGACCTAATGGTCCGGGTACCTTACCGTACCCTTTAATATTTCTCCAATGGAAATAGGGATGTCCTAAGGAAAAGCAGGACATTCTGGGATCAAACCAGAAAACGGGATGGCTTCTGTAAATCTGGAACTGTCCCTGGAAAATAGGGACACTTGGAGGGTCTGAGCTATTTCAGTGGAACCTCTTGAAAAAGAGATATCCCATTGTGCTGAGCTCCTTTACCACCCCATACAATTCAATATCTTCTTTTTTTTAAAAAAATAATATTTATTAAAGTTTCAAAGGAAAAAAAATCACATTAGTAAAAAAAGAATTAACAATAAAAAAGAAAAATACAAAGTAGAAAAAAAAGAAAAAACAGTTAAAAACAATTCCATCTTTTCCTCACTTCTTTTACGTTTACTTGTTTCCCGGACCTCCTCATACCTCCCTCTTTTGTATTCCAATTAAATTTGTTAATCCAACAATTCCTTTCCCTCCTTTTTAATCCTAATCTTTAATCTTGATATATTATAACTTTAAATTTTTACATATTAAAAACCAATTTTTCCATATTCTTTTGTACCTGTACAGCTAGAAACCACTTAACTTCAATCCAACATCATTCTAACATTCATTAATTTTGCAATATTTCTGTAAATAGTCTTTAAATTTCTTCCAGTCTTCTTCCAGCAACTCTTCTCCCTGGTCGCGAATTATCGCAATATCTTCAACCTGTATTATTCACACAGTTTATACTGGTTTAAACTGAGAGTCTCTTATTTACACCAACAGTGGGCCCGGCCCAATTTACTGGAGATTTTATATTATCCAATAAATGAGATCAAAAGCAGCTCATTTCCTAACTTCACAATGGATTTAATGCAACCACCACAAAACACTTCTAGTGAACCACAGTTGCTGAAGCTTTCAAGTTTACGTTGTTTGTTCCCTAATCCAGAGGACCTTCAAATAATCTAATCATATCCTTCTCCCAACCCCAAAAGAAAAACACGACATACAAACCCCACAGACAAGGCATACCAGGGGAACAATAAAAGTATGGTTTCTCTCAAATCACCAAACACTTTTAATTTTCTTTGAAATACAAGGAAAGCATAATCTCTCTGAGACTCGATGCTGTATAAAATCATTAAATGGCATGAAGGGGCTTGACCTAGGCTCCTCCTAATATACAGCAAAAAGTCAGAGAATATCCATGACCGACCATTAGCAAACAAAATAAATCCACCTTGCTGAGCTGCTCTCACATAACTGGCTGAATTGGAAGAAGTGCCAAAGATCCATATTGTGTGAGTGTCTGGAAGCGGTTGGAGGATGGACGACAGCTAACAGATTGAGGTTGAATCCTGACAAGACAGAAGTACAGTTCTTGGGGGACAGGGGGCAGGCTGGTGTGGAGGACTCCCTGGTCCTGAATCGGGTAACTGTGCCTCTGAAGGAGCAGGTGTGCTGCCTGAGAGTCATTTTGGACTCACAACTGTCCATGGAGGCACAGGTCAATTCTGTGGCCAGGGCAGCTGTCTACCAGCTCCATCTGGTATGCAGGCTGAGACCCTACCAGCCCGCAGACTGTTTTGCCAGAGCGGTGCATGCTTTAGTTATCTCCCACTTGGACTACTGCAATGTGTTCTAAGTGGGGCTGACCTGGAAACTACAACTAATCCAGAATGCAGCAGCCAGACTGGTGACTGGCAGTGGCCACCAAGACCATACAAGACTGGTCCTGAGAGATCTGCATTGGCTCCCAGTACATTTCTGAGCACAATTCAAAGTGTTGGTGCTGACCTTTAAAGTCCTAAATGGCCTCGGTTCTGTATACCTGAAGGAGTGTCTCCACCCCCATCATTCAGCCCGGACACTGAGGTCCAGCACCGAGGACCTTCTGGTGGTTCCCTCGCTGCGAGAAGTGAGGTTGCAGGGAACTAGGCAGAGGGCCTTCTTGGTGGTGGCACCTGCCCTGTGGAACGCCCTCCCAGCATATGTCAAGGCAATAAGCAACTATCTGACTTTTAAAAGACATCTGAAGGTGGCCCTGTTTAGGGAAGTTTTTAATGTTTGATGCTGTATTATGTTTTTAATATTCGGTTGGAAGCTGCCCAGAGTGGCTGTGGAAACCCAGCCAGATGGGCGGGGTATAAATAATAAGTTGTTGTTGTTGTTGTATTGGGATAACAAACCATTATTTAAAGCCTCGTCACTTGTTCCATTAAAAACTGGAACGGGCTTCTCTTTATATGTCTTTCCCGGTGCTTCCCACTTCCACTCCCCCAACCAGTGATGACGTATGAATTAGTTAGGCTTCATTTATACTTGGAAATTTGTGCTGGAGCACAGCAGTATGTTAAAATAGCGGCAAACAGCTGCTTGGGGTGTTGACCTCCTGCTTTCCACTCCTGAATAACCTCTGACTTTGTCCATCAAAGGTCTCGGCAAAATATCCTCTCCCACAGTGGGTTTGATGACTGCACTTCCTGATCACTTCCTGTTTACACTGGCTCAGCTTCTACTATATTAAACACGCCCCTTCAACATGCCCATTGGATGACAGGACTAGACACCCTCCAGCCCATTATGAGCAGGGGAGTGGTGCAAAGACGCCTCTCTGTGAGCAAATGTGGCAGAGGCTGGTGTAGGTGCCTTTTCCCCTATTGGAGGGGATCTTGACAGGAGTATGCCCACACCATGTTGTGGTTTCGTCCCTTTTTCTGCTCATCTATCTGTGAGAACCACTGCGCTGCACACCCACGGCTGCCATTTCCCAAATGTGCCCATTAGCCCCCAAAGTTTGGGTACATCTGAGGTGACCTCCTTTTCTTTGAGGGAGACAAATTTCATGAATTGGACCCAGTGAAGGATGCACATGCAAGTCCCTTCAGCATGGAATTAAAATCGTCGTCAGGGTTACTATGCCTGCAGAGTAGCACTAAGAATGAAACACGGATCTCTGCTGAGCTTTTAGTATTTGCTGAATCACAGCGATGAGATCTTGTGGCGCTTTCACAGATCCCTAAAATAAGCCATACAAGAGGAAAGTTGCAACCGATAACACATCTTTGTAGGCCTTCTTTGTTCCTGCCAGTCTTGCTGTGGACTTTTACATGTAACTTAAGCACAAAACCAATAATAGATATTACTACCTGTGGGTTGTTGTTTTTTTTTTTAAAAAAAGTTCTCTGTTTTGGCATTAAAGAATTCCAATTGTCCTGTAGACTATCAAAGTTCTCAAAGCTTCAT